AAATACATACATTAATTCATTAAGTTTCAAGGCTGAGCCACACTTTTAGCACAAGTGAATGACGTGATTTGATAAAGATATGAGTTCTAGTGATTGACCTAAATTCTTTCTGTTTGTTTTTAGAACAGTTGGTATGTTTCCTGATATAGTGATTTCAAAATACCAAGATGATACATTCATGCATCGTACTGCATTCTCTCTAATACACATAGGCAATCTACATGATAGAATATTATGCAGAATTGTGCATTCTTAGAAGTACTATCAGTCTATAAGAGGTATATTGGAAGTTAGATATATTTATTTAGCTTAATAATTCGTTGGAATTACAGTGCTCTAATGTTCATTGAATACTATTGTGACTTATAATAGCTATACGAAATTGCCATGAATTCATTTACTGTCAGTTTGGATTTATACCTCTCTTGGGATTGCTGTGAATTCGTTTAAAAACATTTTAGGATTATAATATAGCGATTCTTCTCTATTTTTGATAATCATCACAATACATGTTATTTGTTGTAATAAATTTGGAACTCACTTCAATTGTTTGATACTTATAGATTTAATAGATCAATCAAAGTTTTGCAATTAATTATCCGTAATATGTTATTTTTAACTCTTCCACTGTCGTTTAGTGAAGTAAGATATATTTTCAATTAAACAAAAATTGTTTGGTTTGATCTGTATTGTTACTTGTGTTCTAAGACCATAAAGCAGTGACAACATAAACATCAGCAAAATTTTAAAAACAAACAACATGAAGTTAGAAAACAAAACCATGTTGACACTATTTAAGGAAGTAAACATTATTAGGTCTTTAAGTCCGATCTTGTAGTCGAAATTGATGCGTTTTAAGAGCATCTTTGAATGAGATCACATTGTACTTGTGTCTAAGATCAATGGTAAATTCATTCCACTTATCTGGGTCCTGATAAGCAAATAAAAGTTATCCATTTGAACTTTTTTCAGCAGTAGAAACAATGTGAATACTATAATCAAAAGACTCTTCACAGGTTCGTTTTGGTGCATAATTCCCAAACCATTCAACTTATGTCTATGAATCTGTGTACATTTACTACGTTAGTGGTGCAGATGTACATTGTGCTATTCTTAATTTTTCAATCTCAATATTTGTAATGCTATTCTCGGTTTGTCTGTCCATTCATCCATCAATTATCCACAACAATCCAACCGTGTTACATTTCACTACGAAACGAGGTACACTTCATAGTAAACTAAAGCTCCGGATGTACATGTTTATTTTCACATTTCTTTATTGCATTTTTTTGCATTTTCATCCGTTTGTGTGTGTGTGTGTGTGTGTGTGTGTGTGTGTGTGTGTGTGTTCGCCCATCAGTGGAGGTTTTAATCTTTCATTTCCAGTGCGAAACTTAAAAGATCATTTAACATATCTCTATGAAACTTTCTAGACACATTAGACTACAGATCTTGATGTGCAATATGCAGTTATGAACACTTGAATTTGTAAATTTTGCATCCATCCGTCTGTTTATTTCAAACTTGTCAACAAATTTAATATTATAACTGAGTTTAAAATTTGTCAATACGTATTGATAGCTCATTGCAAAATATAGGCAGGTACAAAAAGTTAAAGATACAATGTAGACATACATAATACCTCCACTCCTAAAGAAAAGAAAGATGTTTATAATAAAGCAATTTTTTTACATATTAATCAAACCTACATATGCTACTATATTAATAACATTTTCATATGATGATGTTTTATAAGTGACATAACTATATAAAGCAATACAGTAATTCTATACATGCGAAAGTGCATCTGCAATCAAATTATCGTTTATTTGATGTGCCTGATGTCAGTGTTGTATTCATGCAATATCAGAGTCCATCGCAACAATCTTTAAGTTTTGTTTTTATTTTGTTCATGAAGAGAAATGGTGGCTTGTGATAATTGAAAACAACAAGTATATTCTTCAAACTGTCGCAAAGTTGGTATTAAAGCCAAATACTCCTCGATGGTGGAATAATTTCCCTGGTGCTTGTTTACTTGTTTAGCGAAATAGCACAAAAGACAATCCACGCTGTTTTTGTCTTCTTGAGTTAAAATCGTCCGCCAATCAATGCATAACTTGCATCAAAAAACATTTTAAATGAAATCTGCATCACCAACTGGAAAATAATTTTCATTGAATGCTTGGTAAATGTCAACCGAAATGTTCGTTAAATCCTTTTCTTTTCTCCAAACAGACTTTTTGCCAGGTCAGGAGAAATAAAAGATTTGCTTCTTTTCTACACACACACACACACACACACACACACACACACACACTCACACACACATATATATATATATATATATATATATATATATATATATATATATATATATATATATATATGTATATATGTGTGTGTGTGTGTGTCTTTGTGCGTGCGACGGCAGATCTAGGTTATTGCAGTTTGCAATTAGTCTAGTCTTATTTGCGTCATTAATTACTTATCTCTTAATAGCTTGCAATACATCAACGTATATGACTTCGTACACGATAGATCCATTTTTAACGATAAGAAATCTGCCCTGCCCTGCTTTATCAACAAATTTCTTGAAGTTGGAAGGAAATTTGAAAAAAGTGGTGTCCTCGTTTTGCACAAAAAGGAAAATTTCTGTTTTGCAATAGTCTCTAAATTTACTATAGATGCGGCTTTAAACGGGTGGACACGGTATGAATTTATAAACTAAATCATTTCCATAAATCATTATATTGGTATTATTTATTTACCCATTACTGTAAAATGGCTGACTGCCTGAAATAGTTCCGTTCACTTTGAGAATGAAAACAATTGACCTGAGGGATTGTTGGAAAACATACACATGTCATAATTTGCAGATTTCTCGGCTGAAAAATGATGATTATATAGTATAATTACTATTAAGGGAATGCCATAAAATGATTAAAAAGAGTTGTCATTAACCATAGAAAACCCAAATTATATTAATAATGTTCCTAAGATATGGGCCTTCAGAGAAGGATATATCTTAAAGCAAAGGGAAAATATTGGGGTTAAATTTAAATAATAACAAGAGCAATAAACAACAATACACAAACGCTTCCACAACGTGGAACCTTCTAATTTTTTCTGTATGTGGTTAAAGCGTCCGCCTCAAATGCGGGAGGTCGTGGGTTCGATCCCCTGCCGAATCATACAAAAGACGTAAAAAAAATGGCACTAACAGCTGCCTCGTTGGACGCTCAGCATAAGGACTGGGCGGCCTGATGTCAGGATAATGTGACTGTATGGGACATTATGCTACATGTCTACGGTTACATCACGATAAATCCTGCCACAGTGCAGACATCGTAGCGATATGACTGAAAAATTGTTAAAGCTACGTTAAAGTTCAAACCGCAACAATCGTATTATGGAAGAGTATTTTTCTCTCTTTTCGGATAGAGAAATGTGTTTTCGAATGTTCATGAATATTATGTCATCGGGGATTAAACCAGGCACCGTTAATTGAGCCAAGTCAGTTATCATACATGGACACTCCACACATTTAATAGAATTTATTTTACATTATTCACAATTTAATGAATAAATCGAATTTTTAAAACAATTATCAAGATAATATAATAATAATGATAATAATAATAATAATAATAATAATAATAATAATAATAATAATAATAATAAGAAGAAGAAGAAGAAGAAGAAGAAGAAGAAGAAGAAGAAGAAGAAGAAGAAGAAGATGATGATGATGATGATGATGATGATGATGATGATGATGATGATGATGATGATGATGATGATGATGATGATGATGATTCTAGTCTCAGCGGTATGCGACTTGAACATGATAATCTATATTTGTGGTCAGCAGGTCAGCTGAAAGATTCTTAAATTGTAATTTTACCGTGAGACAGGTAATATGTGTCTCCATAAGTGGTAATATCGTAGCAATTTCAGTCGAGAGTCGAACATCCATTAATCGATTACCCCCTCCTACGATTCATTTAATTAAGTTAGTTGAACCAAACACTTAGAGCGTCAGTGATCAAAATAGGCTTTGACATTTTAAAAGAAACACGTATAATTGTTTCCTAAATAGAATCTAACTTTGCCTTTCGGGAATTTTATGTGGCACAAAAAGTACAGATAGTATCTTAAGACACATAAAGTGATTTGTTTGATGTGCTTTAAATCAACGGCAAGCTGGAAGTAAATTCACATGCAAGTGTGCCTTGAAACGCTTTCGCAACAAGTTTTAATCATGTAATGGACATAAAAATATAATGGATATGGAAGACGAATGTTGGCCCAATAGATTTGTGAGTAACTTATATATAGCTTTATATTAATTGGACATCAATAACGTATGTCCACCCACTACCGATGGCTTTGATATTTGAAACTGGTTGATCATCACAACTTAAGAACAAACATAACTTTTCAAGAATAGCAAAAATCGGCTTAATTCATTCCTTTATCATCTCTTTGCAACATACTGAAAATACTACTGAATATTTGTTTTTGACCACCAATAAGACTGGACATATAGCGTCACCCTTACCCTTCCGAATGTCGGTCCGTCCAGTTAAGATTTTTATGCAATCCGTTTTGGCATTTGTTATCCATGGAAATATTCTATAGATTTTCTGATGAGAGCATGATATGTGATCTCTCACTAATGCGTTATAATTCGAGGGATATGTCTACTGCAATACAATTTACACTGCACAAACAATATTTAAAAAAAAAAATTCCAAAATATTTTCTGGACATAGCACGCTTGTTTCATTCTGTAAGCGCTAATCATCTGAAAATTCGATAATTTACATGTAATTCAAATAATCTTATTCAATTATCATTTCTTTATTTAAAATCTCAACAAAAAGGCATGATTGTTTCTAAAATGTTTGTTTTTTATTCAGAAATATGTCCATTTTTATCACAGTTGTCATTTAATCGTTGACAAGACAATACTAAATTCTATTTAGGAAGCATACCGTTCTGTTGGCCTAGTGGTTAGAGCGTCTGCCTCGGATGCGGGAGGTCGCGGGTTTGATCCCCGGCCGAGTCATACGAAAGACTTACAAAAATGGTACTAACAGCTGCCTCGTTTAACGCTCAGCATTGAGAGGTTAGTGTTAGAACTGGTCGGCCTGGTGTCATAATAATGTGACTGGGTAGGACATCATGCAACATATGTCTGCGACAAGGTGACCCAGTGCTAGACATCACAATAAACTGCCACACTGCAAATGTCGTAGCGATATGACTGAAAAATTGTTAAAGCTACGTTAAAATCTAAACTCTAAACCACACACACACACTCACACACAAGTAGTAGGAGAAAGTAAGAATCCGAGCTCAACAACCCCCTCCAGACCACCAAACAAATACAAAATACCTAGGTAACGTAATAGAAAACCTATTGCAATCAATAATTGCGTTAAGAATCCGAGCTCAACAAATACAAAATACCTAGGTAACGTAATAGAACACCTGTTGCAATCAATAATTGCGTTAAGAATCCGAGCTCAACAACCCCTCTGGACCTCCAAACAAATACAATAGAACACCTGTTGCAAAATACCTAGGTAACAGGTAAAATTTAATTAAGTGATCTTCCAGAATAAGCAAAATGATATGTCAGACTCAATTTTCCAAATCATTACGATTTAGCAGAGAGTGGCGATTGTGGACTAAATTACGCATTAGAATTCCAGTAAGGTAAGTGGTATTATACCTCATTACCAACTGTTAATGTCTCAACTGTAGATATCAAAAATATTTCATTATCATGGTGATAGAGGCTAAACTTTATTTTACCGCTCACATAACGACGGGACTCAAACAAATCTTTTATTTGTGATTTGTTAAGAGGGTATTTTTTGTCGATAAAATACACCTTTGACTGATCAAGATCAATTGTAAGTTTGGTGTATTTATGCTGACTAATCGGACAGTGAAAGTTGTTAAATTCCGCTAGCAACTTTTGATACAATTGTTCGAGATAATTAAAATACTCGCTGTCATCAGATCTGATGAGCGAAAGTTTTAACTTGTCACGGGTACCACTAAAGCATATGCCTGATGTTTCATTATTAATTTCAACTGTCAATGGTTTGCCGTCCATCATTAGATATTTGATTTTGCTACTGTAGCTATTTGTTACTGTCAAATTTTCAAACATTATTTTTAAAGTTTAGATAAAATTTTAGTTTGCAAAGATAATGTCAAATATATCTCTATCATCATGACAATACCCAAGTGCAAATGTATCTACCCCATTTTCGCAATAACGTTTATCATCAAAATTGCTCAAACCGCGTTTGATAAGGACATCTGTTTCGAGCTTATGATGATTTGTCCGAATTGACATAGCTCTTATAAAACTAACACCGCCATCAAGCGCATACTTGTAGTCATCAAATTTTATAAACTTTTTAACAAAATCACGAGGCAGACCTTTTGCTTTTTTTGTTATTTTATTATTGTCTAACAATACGGCATACATTTTACTACGTAATCCGATAAAGTATTTGATAGCGCTCGAGTTCATTTCATCTTTGAACTTACCAATAACCTTTTTATTTGTGTCGTCATGAAATTTACTGTCACGTGGGTAATCAGAAAGATCAAACAGATATCTATTATCATGCATGTCCTGATAGACGTCCTCGCATTCAATTTCATATACGAGCGAATCAGTATCAGTAAATAATAATCTACTAGCCGGCCATTGATTTTTAACAAAATTATAATGAAAATCGTACATCAGCCACTTTGATAAATCTAACACTGAAGCTCCAACGTAGATCGGCTTGTTTAGTTTTAGATTTGTTTTTCTTCTTTGTATCGCAACAAGATTCTCATTAAATATTTTCATGCTCACAAAATCATCGTCTGACACAAGCTTGTTTCTGCGATTGACATCATTGACTAGTTCGATATTTACGCGTTTCCTAATATTCTCCATCGTCTTACCAAAAACAGAATTGTTCATCAGTTTGAAAAAGTTTTTCTCAAAATCAGTTTTTGCCGCAGCTCTTCTTGTAGTGTTCGAGTTAATATAACCTCTCATCCACGGTGACTGATTAAATTTTAGTACGCGATGAACTTTTCTCAACACGAGACCAGCATCGACTGCTTGTTTTAAAGCTTTGTAATGCAAAACATAATTACGTTTATGAAGCAAATTTGGTACTAGTTTCTTTACCATAGAATGTTGTCTTGGTAATGCTGACGCTTGTTGTTCTTCTGATAACAAACTATAATCTATGACCATCGATTCCGCGCAGAAAGGGTAATCGTTATGTAATTTGTGTAGCGAAGTTGGATAATCGAGATCAACTTCAACGAAATACGAAACATCGTCGGGGATCATTGTTTCTGTCTCTGATAGAAATTGATCAGCCGTGATCCAATGAAATCCACCAAACGGCATTGATTCTGCCATCGAATACCCGTACAAGTTATTGCAATCTAGATAAACTATATACTTCGAAGGAAGGTCAGGATTATACTCTTTCAAATATTTGTTGTTTGCTTCAGCATATTTCTTCGTTATCACGCTAATACCGCCTCGGATACCTTTTTCGATAAAATTGAACATATCAACATCAGTCAGTAATTCCAACCTTACCTTACTAAACTTTAACAGAGCATCCCATGACAGTCCGGGGGCAGAATAATACCAGCAAGGATCTAGTCCGTAATTATTATAACTCACTTCTCGAAAACTTTCAAAAACATCTGCTAATAATAACACGTCAGTTTTCAAATACAAATCGTGATAATCACCAAAAGTCTCACAATCAAACTCTTTCCAAATATCTTGTGCATACTTGTACTCGTCATCAGTTATATTTTCTTTTTTAAGTTGCGAGTAAAATTTGTCTTTGCTAGGTAAAGATGTTTCATCAAATTTACTCCAATCGTCGAGATATTCGTATGGAAAAACTCCTTTTTTAGCTAATAGATTAAATTTATCTCCAAAACAGTCTCTTAGGTTATCAAATTTACTACAACCTTTCACTAACTCATCTAAGGAGGCTGCCATAAACTGCAGGCTGTCAATAAAACGCAATTTACCTAGCGTAACTGACATGTACTTTTCAAAATTATTTGGGATGCATTTGATGATGTTATCGAGTTTTAGACGAGATTTTATATCAGGATCACCAAAAGCTTCTACTATAATATGGCTATCATATCCTCGAAAATTGTGAAGAATAACTGGAATAAAATCTGGAGCGTGAAATTTTAAATTACACTGGTCATGAGCCGCTCCACGATACTGTCCGGTCAAATGGCAATGGTCACGTACTTTTTTGTTATCATCAAAAGCTTTTTCACAAATATAACAAATTTTCGCTTGCTCGTGATTAGATTCTTGTTGAGGTGCTAATTTTAACATTGGAGTTACTTTTTTCAAACGATAAGTAATATTATCAACTTCATTAATCAACTGCTTGAGAAGCCAGACAGCTGGATTTTTACCACGATAGAGTTGGATTGGTTTAGATAATCTCGAATCAGCGCAACAAACTACCTTGTACGCTACTCCGCATGGAACATGATTTTGAATTTTTCTTGTACTCGATTGGTTAGGATCATTTTCTACGCCAAGTACAGGTTGAAGTAAGCATTCGAAATCGACGTATATGACGAAAGGAATTTTTAGTTTGTGATTATGATGGACAAACTGTAACACGCTATCTTTTTTAGATGGCATTGTTATTCTTTGTACGTCACTACAGTACTGCAAATGCTTTTGTAATGTTTCATTGTCTCTACAACCGTGCAAGCAGCGATAACAAAAGAACTTTTTGTTGTTATTTTTATTATATGGTCTTCCAACTAGTCTGTTAAAGTTTTTGATCCAAACGTAATGATTTTTAAAAAATAGTAAATTGATAGTCAATTGTGAATCTTTTTCTGAAATATACCTCGGATAGACATTTTCTTTTTCATCTAATCCGAAAACGTTAATCGAAACATTATTTTGCTTTTCAAACTTTGGTATTTGATTTTCTGCCACTGGAAAGTCAATACCAGCACAATTTAATCTTGACACGTGACTGATATACTTCTCAACACGATCAGCATTTTTTTCTGCTGGAAATAGCGCGGAAAGAACAGCCCATTGGAAACATTTGCGATCGACGTTTTTTATGTTTATACAGCACTGTTTATTTTTTATTTTTGGTGGCAGGTCGATATACGAACTACCGCGTAATGCGTCATATTTCATCGTGTGAAACAAAATTTCCTTGATCATTTCAAACTTCCAACCCGAACCTAATTCGGTAAATTCTTCTATTTTTTTCCAAATTTCTTGGTGTATTTCATTAGATAGTGACAAAAGATCACTACCAAGTAAAACACGTCTAGATTTTGCGTTGATGTAAGGGTCTGCAATTTCCTTGTTAGTAGATTCTTCCGTCACAAGTAGTTTTGAAAATATAACGTAATATTGCACTAACAATCTTAGACCCTTGTGTTTTTCAAGCTCACGTTTTACAGTCGTCTGTAGCAGATGAAAGAGATTTGTTTCAGAAAAATTTACTAAAACGTTTTGATTATCAAACTGATAACTATTGTCAAAACCTGCAAAAGCAGTCGCTATTTTATCAGGTTCTCCAATAAGTCTCTTCTTGGCTATATCACGCAATTTCAACATTATTATATTATAATATAATCTCTAATTGATAATTTACCTCACACTGCGCATGCGCTAAACAACAATTAGAGATAAAAAATATCACCTATAATATAATGACAGTAAATCTGACAAGCGCACGTGAGCAAGAGGTATATCATGTTTATCCGAAGTACAACCTGTACGCTGGAAATGCACTTGGTTCGGTTATTAATATCATTACTGGAATATCTGTTGGTAAAGCAACGCCAGCGGGTTATACGATTAGTGTAAAGGGAGATAATACTGAAAGAATTACGATGTTTAGAAAAGATTTTATTTACACGTTATTTTGCGATGACATTCCAGAGGGGAAACGAGTATATCATTATAATGGTAAAGTCACTGATGATAATATTGAAAATTTATCCTTA